CGGCCTAGGCCTCGGGCTCCCAGGCGGGGGCTGCAGGCCGCGGCGCTGTTCCGGTGAGGCCTCACCCGGCTTCGCTCCTCCGCAGGGCGGCTACGGTGACTGAAAATGGTGAGGGAAGATGAGAAGGTGATCCCGGTGCGCGTGGCGCTGCGCTGCCGTCCCTTGGTGCCGAAGGAGACCAGCGAAGGGTGTCAGATGTGCCTGTCCTTTGTGCCGGGGGAGCCGCAAGTAAGGGAGTCTGCGCCCGGGGATCGGCCTTGTCTCCCCTCCGCCCCGGGGTTTGCTGCCGGGGTGATAGGGCAGCGTGGTCAGCTCGGTCTGTTGTCGTCTCCTCTGCAGGTGGTTGTAGGTAATGATAAGTCCTTCACGTATGACTATGTGTTCGACCCTTCTGTTGAGCAAGAGGAAGTCTTCAACACAGCTGTTGCCCCTCTCATACGAGGCATCTTCAAAGGTATTGTGGTAAATGAGGTCGAGCTCTGTTTTAAAATGGGGCTCAGTTGTGTGGAAGAAGGTGCTGTGCTGTTTAATTCTCCATTCTAACTCACTTCTTTGATCTCAGAAAATAAAATCCTGATCTATCTAGATGCTGACTCCATCCTCTAGTGAGAGGTGCCAGATTTTACCTGTTTATAACTTGTTGTACTCTACAGAGCTAACAAAATGACATGTGTGCGTTCACTGGGTCATTTTAGTTCGTGAATATTTTTATGTAAAGCAAAAGAATTTTATCAAGAATAATACCATGAATTGATAAGTATCCCATATGAGAAGCTGTACTGATGCTACAGTGGAGTTGGGATGATAGAGAACTTACACTGTGTTTCTATGACTAACTCTAGTAAAGCAACAGTGCAGTCTTAAGAAAGAGCTGGAATAATAATTTTGTCCTCATTTTGGGGAGCTTTTCATTGACTTTTTTCCCTTGATGTTGCTAACTGTGACCTGTGCATACAGCTTGTATAAACTGACAGCGAGGGACAGTGCTCTTCCGCAAGGATGCTTTTACTAGAATACAGCTTTGTTCGTCAACGTTTCTTCTGGTTCCCACGTGACCATCTGATCTGGGTGCCCTTTGTTCCCTCAGGGTATAATGCTACCGTCTTAGCCTATGGACAGACAGGATCTGGAAAAACATACTCTATGGGAGGTACCTACACGGCCAGTCAAGAGCATGAACCTAGTGTGGGCGTCATCCCTCGGGTAATCAAACTGCTATTTAAGGAGAAGGAGCAAAGGCAGGATTGGGAATTCGTCCTCAAAGTTTCTTATCTAGAGGTAAAAGTTGTTTTGATTTTCAAACTACTATAAAGTTATGAATTGCAGATAAAGTGAGTTTTAATGAGACCACCTCCTTCAAGTAATAGGTATTTACTAAATCAAAACCTAAGCCTACATAAGGTCTTGTCAGGAACTAGATTCCGAGTCCTAGGTATCTTTCTCTAATGTAAAATGAATAGAATGTCATGCAAAGTTAGCCATGTTTCCAGCATAACCGTACATCTTTCTCTATACAAATTAGCTCTTGCAAGGCTGCTAACTGGACTGCTGTTCTGATGCTTTCAGATCTACAATGAGGATATTCTAGACCTGCTGTGCCCATCAAGAGAACGGTCTTCTCAAATCAGTATACGGGAAGATCCAAAAGAAGGCATAAAGGTCTGTTGCCCTGTTAGATACAGGTATATAAGGGGCCAACATGGCTCGGGATGAATGCTTGTGAAATAAGTGTCTGACTCCTTGAGCACTGCTTTCTATTAGTGCATATAAAATCATCACAAGTACTCATTCTTGTCAAAATTGAGGTATTGATGATCCTTAAATTAGAAGGTAAACCCAATAGGGTTAGACATTCATGACAAAGCCACTTGCAAGTCCTAGTCTGACTTTTTTTTGAAGGCTGATTTAGGTGAGTATCTGAGAATGTTGTACTTTGGGTCACTTCACTGAATTTCAAACTCTGTTACAATTGTACTCCTTAGTTTGGCAAATGTAGTGTGCAACAAAGGGATCTTGAAGGGAAACTATTCAAGTGCTCAAGTTATTTTTTTTTCATACAGATGTGTACTGTAAAAGAAAAACCTTTTGCTACTGCTTGCTCTGTGTAGTTAAACTTTTGTCTGTTGGTTGTGCTTCATTCATACAGTTTCAGTTTGCAGTGGTGGGTAGTTTGTTGGCTGTCATGCACACATTTAGGTGTGCATGACACACTGTCATCTCCAAAGTACTGGGGTGTGACTCACCCATGTGTTAGTGGCATTGTGATCC